TAGAGTTCAAGGACTGGGAAGGGTCTTAGAAATTATAACAGGTCCTCTTATTTTACAACGTTGGGAGGCTCAGAGAGGGGCAGCAAGCCACAGACTGTTCACAAAGTGACAGAGAGGTAGTCAGGCCTGGCCAGGTCCCCACACAGCAAATGCAAATTCTTCTACAGTACACATGGGGGATGGTACATACCTCACTGACTACACAAAGAAACCCAAATCCAGCACCAAAGTGCATGTTCACTATGCACAGCAAGTAAAAACACTATTTTGACTCCATAAATTTGATTTATCTTAAGTGAATAGGCTTCATAAAAATGGCAAGCTTTTAATTAATAGTACACTTGCATTAGAATTTAGAAGCCTGTTCAGGGACAACTGAATGACACACGTCTCTTAAAAATACAGTCAGGAAAGTTTTAACTGATGTTTATAGTTTCTCTACAAAAATTTCCATAAATATCACTTCAGAAAATTTGCATAGCTATCTCATTATCTGGGCGACTTTTATTAAGAGACATAATGATGTACGTAATACAGCCCTCTTGAGTGCTCAGGGATCTCCTGGAAGTTGGGAGGGGCCTGGGCCAGTTTAATATTTGAGATAATTTTTTTCAATAAAGAAATATTTAGATGAAGTTACCAAAATTATGGATATTTTAAATATTTACATTATACGTATTAACACATTAACCAACCCCTCAACGAGTGTCTTATTATTCACCAGGATTTTTTTTTTTAATTTCTATTCTTCATGCACTAACAGCTGTATGATCTACTGCCGGGACACACATTCTAAAATTTTAACAGGAACACCCACTCCTTGCAATGCTGTCCATGAATCTCTAGGACACATACATGCAAATCATGGTAAAAACCCAAGACTGAGGTTCTTTAAGAAGACCTGGGCCAAGTGAGCCTGCCAGTACCCAGGGCAGATGATGCTGTATCTGATTTTCTTTGCTTTTTACCTTCACGCCAACTGCAAGCAAGTGGTGTGGGGAGAGGATGGCTGGGGGTGGGGGAGACCTTAGCCACCAAAAGGCAGTTGAAATCGAATGTGCAAAAAGTGAAGGGGGACACAGTCTTTCTGGTCTCAGAAGTTGAAAATCAACCAACCAATCAAGGAAAAATAACTGACATGCCCATCTTCACCTCTCTGAATCCACTGCTTCTCCGACTCTCGGGGGTCGGGGGCATGGGGGGTGTCAGGCGAGGCGGGGTGTGTGTTGGGGGGAAGGAGTAGCTGCTGGGATTAATAGTTACTGCAGCCTAATCCTGAATGAGGACAATCTGCTCTGGCCGTGGTCAAATTCTGATTTGCACATTCCAGGCATAAACTGAAATTAAAGCAAAATACCTGTTTACTAGAATGAGTCCCCAAAAGCTTTATTGGAGTTGCAGAAGTGTGTTCTGAAAGGTCTGTTGTGTCCCGAGAGGCAAGTTATAAGGGAAAGAAAACCAAGCTCATTTCCTTAGGAGTCAGGAAGCAATTTAACAAGCAAGAGGTAGAAGTGCGTGTGTGTGTCTGTGTGTCCCCATCTGTCTCTCTGGGGAAGGTGGGGAGACGTACAGCCTGAGGTCCCTTTCAACTCCAGAAAATCAGCTGTACTGTGGGGCTGGGGGATAACGCAGCTCTAATTATCCAAAGGGACCCCATCTCAGGTCTGGTTCTTTCCTCCGCATAGCCAAAGGTGGGGAAAAAAGAGACGCTTGTAAGTGACTGTGTTGGTGGTCCTATTCATCTTTTTTAGTGACATTAACATCTAACAAGCTTTAGTTCCTAATTGTTTTTACAAGACTGATGTTTAATCGAAGCTAATGATATCAGGTACTTGAATCATCACATGAATTAATTTAGCAATATGAATGCTTCATCATATACTCTCTTTATTTCTCTCAGTATTAATTATAATCTTTTCCCAAAGAAAGTGAAAATCCCAGAGATGACCTAGATATTCCACTTTTCTACCCACAGTGGGCAGATTCCAAGAATCTGACAGACCACAGAAAGACTGGTTTGGGTTAGAGAACAGTTTCTAAGATTTGTCCAAATATGGGATACTTACACATACTGTACTTTAACACACCATAACCAAAACCCAGTAGAAATATGGGCCTGCGATATTAACAGAAATCCACAGAAAAGGAAATACAAATGGCTCTTAAAAGTAAGAAAATATGTTCAGTCTTACTCATAAGAAATGCAAATTAGAGCCGAACAAAATACCATCCTTTTCACTTCTAAGATAAGCAAAATTCTACAAGTTGGATTAAGTACATATTGGTCAGGTAAGGTTGTGGATAAACATGCAGTGCCATACATTGTCAGTGGGACAATATGAACTAGTATAACCTTTAAAGAGGGCAATTTGGTGATATTTATCAATGATATAAATGCAATAAATCTTTGACCCAAATTTCCATTACTGTGATTTATCTTACAAATATGCTTGTACATGTATAAAATAATACATGTAAAAGGATATTCATTACAACAATTTAATAATAGCAAAATATTGGAAACAACTCAACTGTTCATCAATAAAGACAGAAAACAATTCATGTGTTCACAAATGAAGGACTGGTTAAATAAATTAAGATGTACTCATACAATAGAACATCATGAAGCTAAAACAAAGATTGATGAGCCACTTTTTGTGCCATTATGGAAATATCCTCAAGATTCCTTTTTCAGTGGAAAAAGCAACATACAGAAGAGTGTGCATAGAATGCTATGTTTCGTTTTAAAAAGAAAAGTTATGAATATGAATTTATATTTGCTTATATTTGCATAAAGAACATCTGGAGGAATTCTAAGAAATGAATACTGTGATTTTCATTGTGTGTGCACAGTGGTGGGAACTGGCTGGCTGGGGTTATGGAAGACAGTGAATCTTTTCACTATGTACTCTTTTATATGTTTTGTGTTTTGAACCATCTGGTTGTACCAGAATCTATCTTGTGTGAAGCTACCTGCTCCAAAAAATAAAAGTAATGCATTATTGATTTGGATATCACAATTTCTGGATTTTCCAAAAACATCCTGCATATATATTACTTAAAATTCTTTTCTGGCAGATTTTTTTTTTTTTTGCCAAGGAAGTCTAATAAATTTCAAAAGATAAACATTGAAAGACATCACATGAATGCATGGGCATAATGAAATGCTTACAGAGATCTACTAATGCCGGCAGCAAATTAAGTTTCTAGAGAATTAACATTGATTAAATGTCATACTTGTAAAATAATTAGGAACTAAAGCTTATTAGATGGAGAATGCTGAAAAAGACAGGCACCACCATCACCTATTGGAAAAGATAAAAATGAAATATTCAGTAGCTATCGCTATCACATGTCATCTCAGTAAGACAAAGGATCTGTTTATTTTTCTTTTACAGGTTTCTAATATTGGGAAGTTAAAATACCTATTACTCTTTTTTTAATTGAAGTATAGTCAGTTCTAATGTGTCAATTTCTGATATATGAAAATGAATACTCTTTTACTCTTAAAAAGTATATTCAAGCAGTATCTATGAATCAAGGGCATTTAAAATACTGAGCTAAAAGCATAAAGGGCATTTCCTCCAAGTTTGTTGTTGCTGAAGTTATTTGAGGTCTGGCCTGGATAATTAAAGATAAAATAAGAACCCAAGGTATCAGTATCGAGACATAAGACAAGATAAACTAAAATGTACACGTTAAATTCAAAGGAAACACTGTAATTAGAGAAACAGCTCGGGAGCCACAGGCCAAGCAATATTAAGAGTTGTATTTCTCTTTCAAAAGGCAGCCAAAAACTCACATAGAGTATTTTCAGATGGGCACATAATGTTCAAAATTCACAATTTTAAAGTGACACATTGAGAGGTACCAGACCATGAGGCCGAATGGGCCAGTGGACAGTAGGAAAAAGTGGTCGTCAGTAGAGACAGCCATTAGGGTGTGGTGGTTTCCTTGGTCTCCCTCAATCAACAGCATACATTAGAGGATTTTTGCTCTCTTCCTGGTGGCATCTTTGACAAAAACAGCAGCTCACAGGATTTGTACTCAAGGCTGACTTCGAAAAGAACAGAGCAGTAAGTTTCTAGCATTTGCCAGGTTTTGGGGAAAATTAAGGAGAACAATAAATAAACACTGAGGGCGAAATCAACAAAGATGATAAAACGGCCAAAACATTACACTTTGCATTTTCATCTGCCTTGTACAAGAAAACCAAAAGGGGAAAGAAAGAATGATTTGAGAGTAATTAGGTTGAAACAACCTTCTCAAAATGGTGACAGAAAGCAGATGACTAATTTTATTATGCCCAGTGAGAGAGCAAACATTCAAAGAGAATTCTATGTGTACAGAGGATTGAAAAAGAATGAGATTTTTTTTTTGAAAAACAATGAGATTTAAAAAATACTGGTTAACTATTATGTGGTTTTGATTGTTGAAGAAGAGTAAAAGTAATTCATTGGGGTTGAAATTACGGCCTCTTACAAACCTCTAATAGAAACAGTTCTCATTCAGAAAGCACTTTACAATTTCAGTACAACTGTACATCCATTTTTTCATTTGCTGAACTGGTATTATCATCCCTATGATACAGATACTATATATAGAGACCAAAGCTCAGCGGCATTAAGCTACCTGATCAAGGGAGCACAGGTAGAAAGTAGTGCAGTAGAGATTCAAACCTAGTTCATGAGTCCACAAATTCTGGGCTCCACAGAGCCTCAAGAGTATGTGCAAATAATTAAAAAAAAAAAAAGACATTCAGTTCCTCTCTGTAGCATTACCAGCCAGGGACTAAAGATATTTTGACAGTCTGCACCATGCTGTGCTAAGAGAGTTCTCAAAAATAGGTTCAGTGATAGTTACAGAGATACACAGATGCATTGTCACCATTTGGGACCCTCAATTCCCTGAACCCAAAAGGCCAATATAATTTTGAGTCATCAGTTGAGCAAGGAATTGATTTTCCTTTGATTCAAATATTTCTTTTCTCTTTTTTTTTTTTCAGCACAAATGTAGTCCCCCAGTACCACAAATTACACAGTCGAGTTTCCTGCATACGGGGAAATCGCAGGGGTCAGCACACTGGAATGCAATGGATAAGCCTCGCCCTAGAAAAAGAACCTTTGTGATTATGGTATCTCCCCTGTCAGGGAAGTATGAATATTTCACTGAAAGCATTTACCATATTTTGTTTATCCATTTGTCTGTTGATGGACATTTGGATTGTGTCCACCTTTTGGGTATTGTGAATAATGCTGCTATAAACATCGGTATACATGTTTTTGTTTGAGTCCTTGCTTTCAGTTTTTTGGGGTATATGCCTGGGAATGGAACTGCTGGATTATATGGTAACTCTGTGTCTAACTTTATGAGGAACCCTCAAACTATTTTCCACAGTGATTACATCATTTTATATTCCTGCTAGTAGTGCATAAAAGTTCCAATTTCTCCACATCCTTGCCAATATTTAATACTTGTTATTTTTCTATTGTTTTGTTTTTGAATAACAGTGGGTATGAAGCAGTATCTCATTATAATTTAATTTCATTTCCTTAATGACTAGTGATATTGAGTATCTTTTATCTTTTGTTTATTTATCAATCATTTGTATATCTTCTTTGGAGAAATATCTATTTAAGCCCTTTGCACATTTTTGAATTCAGTTGTTTTTATTGTTGTTGAGTTGTAGGAGCCCTTTATATATCTTGGAATATATATAAATATATATTTATTTCTTATTTCTATAAATCCCTTGTCAGATATATGAATTACAAATATTTTCTTCCATCCTGTGTGTTGCCTTATCACTCTGTTAACAGTGCCCTACAAATTTTTTAACTTTAATGAAGTCCAATCTATCTATTTTTTCACTTTTGATGTCAGATCCAAGAAATCATGGAAGTGATTCCATTTGACTAAGCTCTGATACCATCCCGAGGTAGGATTCTTGGGTCACTCTACAAGTCACCTACAACAAATTGCTTTGTTACTGATAAATTCCAAATACATTGCAATAAGCTAAAAAGCAAAAGATGCATGGGTGACTTCATTGGTTTCCCATTGCCCTTAAGGTTCAAACTCTGTGGCATGAGCTTTACTTTATAACTCGATCCCTGACTACTTCTTTAACCTCATCTCACCTTCATTTTCTAATTGCAATAATCTGGAATTTCCTGTGCTCTGGAATATTGTACATATGCCCTCTTACCTGCCTTACTTATACTCATCCTTCAACTCTTAAACCAGTCAGCACTTCTTCCAGGAACTTTCCCATGATCTCCCTCATGTCCACCCAGCATCCATTTGGCCAGAAGGTTAATGTACAGCACCCCACATGGTGTCTATCACAGGTTTTGCTTATGAAATTATTATTTATTTAGCTGTCTCCACTCTAGATGATAAATTCCATGAGAACAGTGACCCTACCTATAATTTATTTTTATCACCATGTCCTCAGTATCTAGAATAATTCCTGGCACAGTAGATGCTCAGTAAGTATCTGATGAATAAATGAATAAACCAGACTAATGGCTTTTCCCACCCAGTGTTCTATGCCTATCAGTAGTTAAAGAAGTGTTTGCATGGGAAGGCATAAAATTTAGAGATATGTCCTAAGTTTCCTTGCTTTTCTCAATAATTTCTCTTAAGTGAAGTTTACTTAGCAGACCTTTAATTACAGTATTATTCTAGGCACTTGATAAATTTTTAATTCATTTAATATTCACAACAGACTGATGAGGTGGGCCCCATTATCATCTGTAATTTTCAGGGAATGAAACAAGAACACAGAGATGTTAAGTAACTTGTCCATGGTCACATAGCTACTGACTGGGCTTGAGTCCATTTAGAGTTGGCCAGTCTGTACCATATCTTGGCTGTGATGAATTCCACCTACATGTGAAATAGTATATACTTGAACATTTCAGGCTTACAAGGATGGTCAAGTTCATAATATTTATGGTGTTCTAAACTTGGCTCACATTCCCCTCAGATTTAGGGTCTGATTTACCTCCTGGGAGTCCCAAGTTTCCTAACTGATGCTCACACACACTTCATCCCTTAACTCTTTCAACTTCCTTTCTCAGAAACTGAGCTCACTTCCTCATTCCTTCTGGAGGCTCAGCTGATGCAAACACAGTATTTCAAGTACAGATGGGCCATATTCATTGTCAGGATTAAAAACAAAACTAAATTTTATCAGTGTATTTAAATAACTATCTAAAATAACCCTCAGGCTCTTTTCTCAATCTTGGCTGGCAGTACCTCAGCTTATCACCCTAAGGGATGTTTGAACTATTTTCTTTAAAATTTATGATTTTTCTGTTGCCTTCAATAAAACTAATCTTCAGCCACATTACTGTTATTCTGTTTAAAGAGATACAGAAAGGTACCTCTTTAAAAACAGTTACTTCCTTCATCCCTCTCAACCTTCTTTCCCTTCCTTCCATCCTTCCTCATTCATTCAATCATTTATTTGAATATTTATTCCACATTTTCACGGTGCCAGGCACCAGGCTAGATGATGATGATGGAAATTCAACTTTTACCCTCAAGGAGTCAGTATCTTTCCCATTTAAAAAGGTTTGCCCAATATCATGGAAATTAAACCATGCTATTATTTGGAATACTAAAAAAAAAAATTGTAAGACAAAAAATGATTTCAACTGGTTCCTCTTTTTCCATCTTCATATTCATCCTCTCAAAAGGTTAGAATACAGTTGCATGGAATTCAGTACCATTATTTTGGTTTGAATAATTAAACAGAACATCTCATTTCAGAAAGTACAAAAGCATGTAACAAAAGGATTTACAACTTTAAATCAAAGTATATAATAGGCAGCTACAGTTGTGAGTTAATCCCCTTAAAGAGAGGAAAAAAAAATGTAGAAGCAAAGTAACATTTTAAGGCAAGATGGATGTATTAGAAATTTACCATTGGATGGATTGCAAAATGTCTCTTACACCTGAATAATAAATATAATTTATTGATTCTCTCTGAATGTACTAGGGAGATAAAGCATGTAAAATAATCATTTATGCTAAGGACACACAGTAAAGAATCAAAATTATTCTCTGCAGCAAGCACTAGGCTGATAGTTAATAGCACATACGTTCATTTTCATACCCCTTGCCCTTTTAAATATATCTCTGAGGAAAGACAGTGGTTATTATTTGGTTTTCCCCATGTGAAATTTCTCATGCAGTAAATCTTTAAAAGTTATATGAAAAGTACATTTTTCTTTCATGGATTCTCATTCATAGTTAAGAATGCTTGTGGGTGTATTTCATTTAGCATGGACAACATTTCCAATTTAACATGTCCCAGAAAATGTAACATTTGCAGCTAATTTCCAACATAACATTTAGAAATAGCTCAAAGTGAAAACTCATTATTGGTTTTTGCCATGTTTAAAAGCCAAATGCAAATGAAAACCAAGGCAAGATTATATTTTACTTTTAGATCATGTATTTTGGTTCTCTTTTCAGAAAACAAGTTTGGTGTAGGTGGTAAGCTTGTAATGTTATTCTTTGTTTAAAACACATGGCAGAAAGGTCTCAGGAAAGAGAGGACAGATATTCACACCTGTCATGACCCGAGAATTATAAATCTGCCTTTGGAAGACAGGCCTTCAAATGGCCAGTTGGGCGGTCATGTTCTCAAAGTCACATATATTATAATAGCTTCATTTTTTTGTTAATTAATACAGCTTAAATGTTGTCTTTTATATTTCCACAAACTTTTCATCATCGAGGGCTCACATTATGTTTTGCCCAAACTGAACTGACTCCCTGGTCTTGCTCATGCATCAGACTTGCAAATGAACAGATGTTCACGTATGTACTTTCCCATATGAACTGGTGACCAGCAGGTCTTATCCTCTTTTGAGTATTTATAATATTATAAACTACGACACTAATTTTCAATGGGACTCAATAAAGTAATGAAATATTTATAAATTTAGATTGAAAAATGGTCATTTGTACTATTACTTAAAGAAAACCATAGTTGGTCTTAGTGATTTTTTATATGATTACTCTGACAATATGCATAAAATGAAGAAATTCAAAATGACTGAATTCACCTTAAAGTCTGAGCCCATGTAAGTAGTTTTTTAAAGCATTAGAGTTGAATGGAAAATGTGACTGAGGTGGAAAATTTTTGCAAACATAAATTTTAAATGGAGCTTCCAGAAAGGAATAATTTTATGATAACCTATCAAATTTGAGGGGTTGTTTAGATAAGAATTTAGGGATTATTGAGATAAGAATTTTGCCAAAAACATAAATAGCATAAAGAGTATACAGAGGCATTTGCAAGCAGCTTCCACACAGGATTTAACAAATATCTTTCATGCCTACTAAGAATTCCAGATACCGAGAGTTCCTGAATGGGAGGGAGGAGGCACCCTCAGGTAGGAAATGCCTCTCTGTGGAAGTGACAGGGGCTGAGACCCAAATAAAGACAGGGAGCAGCCCCATCTCTGGGGAGCGTGGTTCCAGGCAGCGCCCAAAGGAAGCACATCAGTCTCAAATGCACTTTGAAAGTATATTTATTTTTAAATCAAATGCTAAAAGAGTCAAATAAAAATTAAATTACAAATTAATGTATCTATAAGTAAGGTGCATACATATTGTGTTCTGACAATATACATGTATATATATATGTATACATATGTATGTGTGTGTATATATACATACTGATAACTGAATAGATACACATAGATAAATAGTATTTCTATAGAGAAAATGATACATTTCTTAAGTGTTTTGAACTATAAGCCAGCGGAAGCTAGGAGTAGCTGGATAGCCCGTATCTTGAAAACATTGGCTCACGGTTTGTCCTAATACTTTGCCTTGTCTTTAAGTTCTCTTGGCCTCTCTGCCAGTGACTCATATTCTGTCCTCCTCTCCTGCGAGCTGGGGTAGGTGAGAAGGGCTGACTGTCTCAATGAAAAACAGGTACAGTCAGCAGTACAACTCCATGTCCCACCTTTCTGAACTGAGCACAGAAGCCTGATGAGAGAGAGACCTGCTACCTTCTGCAGAGGTGACTCTGCAGGTGACAGAAAGACAATGAGCAGGGACACCCAGGGACTTGGCATGGATGCTACTTTGCCAGGATTCATACTCTTCTGTTCTCTGACCCTCTCTGCCTGG